TTTTCCTGTACTTGGACGAATAATATTAACTTGACTGGTCTCAGTTCTTCTGTGGAAAGCCTAATGGGGCTCAAATCTAGATACTATTAATCTGTGTTTCTAAAACTTCTGGGTCAAGTATTGATCCTGTGTTTCTACGAAACTTCAAAATTGAGCACACTCTTCATTTGGTTTAGCTGTTAAACTCAGTAGTCGGTTCACAAGCAGTTTCCTCTCGCAGCCTTCATACCAAGCTTTCCAGGCATTTTTACATGTGCTCCTGATGCGGTACTGGGCAGTTTTAATTAGCCGTGCTAATTAAAAACGCCCGTGCATCACATGTATCAGTGGCACATCCCTGTACTGAGAAAATGGCTGTGATGCACTTTGAACTAAAGCATATCGAACATTGTTTTAGTTCAAAGCACACCGCCACCGTTTTCTCAGTGCGGAAATGCACTGTACTGCTGATGGACGTGATGCACAAGGCTGCCAGACCGTGTCAATTTGTGTTCCAGCAGACCTGATTAATTAAGTCTGCTTGGACACGCTGGATTTCCAGCGTGTTGGAGCAGGCTCCCCGCATGTGTGTTAAGTGCCCGCTGTTTCTTCATTTTGTTTTTGTGTTTGTGATAGAAGGTTGTTTTAGGGCATAAGTACAGAACTCTAACTATTCCTTTGTTAACAGTAATTTGATGTATGGGTTAAGCATTTAATTGGAATACTCCCTTCTTGGTAATTTAAGAGTAGCCTCTGAACACTTTGGGGAACACAGGTGAAAAAGCAGGGGTGGTTCACTCCTTAGAGATGAATTGTGTTTTCATTCAGCCACACACTTCCCATGTAACCTCAGAGAAGCTTTAAATGAATCTGCAAGTTAGCTTCCCCATCTGCAGAGAAGTGTAGAATTTTTGTGCTTCGCATTGATGATGAGATGTCCCTAATCTATAAAATGAGCTCTCATTTAATTTTACAGAATTAAGCAAAATTTCTTCTGAGATTAGCTTTATCTTCCTATAGTACAGGGGTTCTTCACAGGTTCAAACTATGTTAAAAATCCTGGAAAGTGCTACACAAGTATAAAGCATTATTTCAGGTCCACATCCATGGTTATCATAATAATGTTTTGAGGGAAATTACATTTCAGATATCTGAATCAAAGCAGTGCTGCTCTGTGTTGTTAAGAAAGCAAGGTTGGCTTTGTAAACTATAGGATGGAAAAATGGAAATTAAAAATATTATGATTGTTAATTGAGTAATTGTGAGTAGAATATGATATTTTTAAATTTATGTGCACCTCAAGTATTATAAAATATTTTTATTCCATTATTTTACCTTTTGGGAAAATTGAATTTACATCATTTAACGTTTTAAAATGACAACTTAATTTTAAATTTCATTTTTTTTACTGAGGCACATGCTATGAAAAGAAAGCATTTACACTTTTAACTGTTAACATGCTGTTAAAATGAAAAAGTATAATAGATTTTTACACGTATGTTAGTTTGGATTATTTATCTTTATGTTGTGCTTTAATTTTCAGTGATTTTAATTTTCAGTGATTTATTACAATATACATTTATTACAATATTCACAAGTCCTATGTCAGGTTTTCTTTCTCTTTCTGACAATAAAATATGTAATGTTACTTTTACTTCATAGGACGTGTACGAACAAAGCTTTCAACACCCTCTGTTGGTATTGGAAACTCAAAAACAGATTCCAGAGGACGTAGTAGAACAAAAGTGGTGTCTCAGTCGCAGCGTACGTATTCTTCATTTATCAGTTACATTTAGAAAAAAAAGTTAGGCCAGATGCTTAAGTGCACATTCATTGGCCAATGGCTATGGTCAAAGTTACTTAAAACAGTAAGCAACATACTGAGTTGTTGTTCTGTGCCTTAGGTTCGTCATCGCCAGACAAAAATGAAGGTATTTTTTTCAGTGTTTTGGGTCAGTAGTATTTGCATGTTTTTGAAATATTTTCTAATTTGTGTTGTCTTTCTTTGGGCAAAATGTTAGGGCCAGGTCATTGCTATTTAAATTAACATAAAAGGAATGCAATCTGCCACCAAATCAAATCTGTAGTTGTAACCAACAATTTCATCCTCTTCCATTCCCACTTCCTTCCACCCGTTCTCCATTTCCCAAACATCTTGATGTACTAGGTACTTATAATACTTACGTTTGATAAATGGGAAATCTGGTAGGGAATGGTATAACCTTCTACTCCAAGGATACCTGAAAAACTTATTTCTTTAGCACTTAAAAAGTTGGCTGTTTTTTTGGGGGGTGGTGTCTGTTTTGTTTTGCTTCTTAGGTAAGTGTATTGTAAAGGTACAATTCAGACATGGTTTACCTTCCTTTTTCAACTTAAGGTAGACAAACACAGTTAATGATGCCTTTACTTAACGTTTTTATTTTTTGCAAAAAAAATTTCATCATCTAGGTTTCTGTAATTATTTAATTTCTATCAGCAACTCAGTATAACGTACCCATGTATTCAGCATTAGTATTTTGTATTTCAAAGCTGACATGATTAAAAAAAAAAAAAATCAAAACCACTTAAAAAGATATTATTAGTCTGTTAGAACCTTTAGATTTACTGGTCCTTTTCATTTACAGACTAATTTGGTTCACTGAGGAATTTTGGAGGGCCTTTTTTTTTTGTCTTGCTACAAAATTAGCTTAGTTTTGGTACTGAGGTGATTAATCTATTATGTATAATCTGCTATACAGATATAGCTAAGATATAGTGATTTCCACTATATCTTAAGGAGTGTCTTTAAATTGTAAAATGACAATGCAGTTACAAGGTTTGAAAACTATGATGGGTTATGGAGTCAGTTAGATAATTTTTTAATTATCATTTCTTATTATTTATTTTTAAAATTCGCATACTGCCCAACATGAATTTTTGTTGTAGAATTTTTTTTAAATATATTGATAATTTGGGGCCTGATGATCCAACATACCCTTATATACCATGTCCACACAAGCGTGGATGTTCGTTTTCCTGGGGTAACAACGATACTTTGTGCTGCTGCTACTTGTCCCTGGGGAGCGGTCATGCCACGCACCCTCTGGCACAGCAGGTTACCCCACGTGGGGTAAGGGAGGCTGGGCCCGCACTGGGCTGGTCTCAGCAACCTCACCTGGGGTCCTCCTCACCTGGGGCTGCGGCAGGATCACCACTGGGGTACCAGTGGTGATCCTGCCGCAGCCAGGCTCTGGTTTTGGGCGGTGCACGCTGCCCCTCTGTGAGCTGCTCTGTTTTGTTTTGTTTTTTTAAAGCAGGTTTTTTTGACCCTGGGGGAAAAAAACCCTGTGCTGCTACCTTGCAGCACAGAGAATAGCTGAATGTGTGGTATGTGGCACCTCAGACATGTCCACAGTGCCACATACCGCATGGCTTTGCTCGTCTGGACTTGGCCGTACATGGTTAATTTATGTGTGGTTGCCATACGCTGTTCAGAAACATTTTTTTCAGGAGCATATGATCACTATACAAACTATGTTTCTAAAGCTTGCAACTTCGGCCTAAAATTAGTGAGGTATAAGGAATATGATACTCCCGTTATCTCACAAATCATTTGTCAAAGTAGAATAATATGTTCAAGTGGGGAAAAAAGCTAAAGGTCTTTAGTCAATACTGTACATCTTTTAATAGTCGGGGAGAAGGAAGGAAAAAGGACGGGAATTATATTTTCTTACTACACATCCACCATGTACAATAAGAAAGTACACCTTTCATCCACCATTCATCTATTAATAATAATCTATTCAGGATCTTATTTTCCAAGAGATAATATCAAGTCAAATGGTCCAGAATTGATAACGTTTGTAAAATCAAGTTTTTACAGAATCTGAAGACCAATAGAAATGTTTTATATAAGCATTTCAATAAACAATCAAGTAATCTTTCCTCTGAAATGTTGCAAGCCCAATATTATGTTTACATAAAGATCTTCTAAATGACTGACTAATTATTGTCCAAGATAAAAATAATGCAAACAGTAAATAGCTAGCAATGGAGTAAAATATACTAAGAATTTTGTTTAAGATGAAATTCACAATGAAAAGTAGAAAGAGAATATTTAGATCCCTTCCAAGTCTTTATTTAATATGTGTGTGTGGAAAACGCATTTAATAATTTGTTGCTTTAAGAGCACTCAGGATTTAAAGACAGAAAAACCCCCAGTTTCTATCTCGGCTAAAAATTGTTTTTTGAAGTGTTCAGACCAGTTTTAAAAAATACTATATTTAAAGTTATCTTAAATATGGAGATACAAAGTGCAGCCATTATAGTCTTTTATAATGGCAGGTTAAAACAGCCCTGGCAGACATTAAAACAACAATGCATTTGGGATTGGAAGGCTTCTGTACCTCAACCCAAATAATATTGCACCTTGTGCTGTGCCAGATGTGTATAGCCAAAGGTACAATGTTTTCATTGGGGCATAAAATTTCTCTAATCCTAAACCATTGCTGAGCCCATCTGATCCCTACCTGATCTGCAGGGGCAGCCCTGTCTCACACCCAGGATTGTCAGGTCCAGGTCTGACAGTCATCTTGGTTGTTGGCCCAGTACTGAGACAGCCTAGCTATATGCATGCATTTTGGCACTGGGACCCCAGGATTGGTGAGCCTCTCTCCCATACCAGGGTCTCTGTGGCCCAGTAGGTCTAAAAGTGTGGGTTCAGCCTGGCTCCCTGCAACCTAGCATTTTAAAGTTCCTGCAGGGCAAGGCAAGAGAAGCTATTGGGCTCGGGGTTTGCCAGGACCCTTGGCTCCTCTCCTCCCAGGGAACCTTGCAACCTGCTGTCCCACTAGGCAGTTTTTTGGCATTGGAACAAGGGCTGTCCTGGTCCTGATGCTGACCCCTGCCCCCTTGCTGATAATGACATTCAGCTGATTGTTAGCATCAGCATGCGGACGCTTCACTTTCAATTTATGCTGCCATACAAACAAGCTATGAAGATGTTCCACATTTTGTGCAGCCATATCTTTGCAGCTGTTTTTCCACTTTCTAGTGTTATACATCAGCTGAATATGTGGCACTGTTACTATTTATGGTGTAATTAACACATTGAACCATAACTGAAGTATGTGCCAGGGGTTATTCTTATAGTCAGTATTTATTACCTGAATTTCTGAATACTTCCGCAGGGACCGAATTAAACTTATTTTAATGCCTAAAACCAAATATCACTAACTCGGTTCAAAATCAAGTTCCTACTCTTTATGTTGAGATAGGTCTTTGGAAATATTTTAGGATCTATAAGGACTTTAGGGAAACTTTTAAGAAATGTATGCCTTTAATGATAAATTACCCCTAAAAATGCTCTTGTGAAATTATTAGTGAAATATAAATGTAGGCTTTAAAATTTCATTTTACTAGTAAATTTAGGGTAGTTTGCAAATGAATTGGATTTCTCCATGGATTGGGGTCTCCAGGAATGAGTTGGATGCCATCCCTTGATTTGCCTCTGAAATAAGTGGATGGTTTTATATGAGGTTGTCTGAAAAAATAAACGTGCCCTTTTAGACTTACCATCCTCCTCCTGCTCAGAACTGAATCCTTCAGCACAGATTCTTATCTGCAGGTCTCTGGAGTGGGAAGAATACCAGTTCTAAGGTCATGTACATGGGGAATAAATAGAGCAAATAAAAAAGTACGAACTAGGACTACTTGTTGTATTCTTGACATTTTGGGATATAATTTTTTTCCAAAATTTGAATTAAAATAGGAATTATTGAAGTGTAGCCGTGTATTAAAAGTTCCAGATTTGTTTTAAGAGACTGTTTTACAGTGGGTTTCATGGCAGATTTAGATTCACATTTCATACGCGTTACTGTAGTATATGGTTACTTCAGTACCACCCTCATTGTAAACAAGATAACAAAACAAAGAACTTCCCCTCCCCAGCAAACTGCAACAACAACCTAAAAAGTTGCACATAATACACATGTTTTCTGTGCATTACAAGTTTTTAGACCCAAAGCTATTGTGCAAATGTAGACATAGGACAATGCTTACTTAATATGCACTTCACATTTCAAGATCAGGTTATTTGACTAATACTTGCAAGTTATGCTGGCTTCATGAAGTATGTTGTTTTAAGGAGATTGAAAACCCTTTCCTTTTACTTGTCCTCTCATATTCATTTGTAAATAGGCAGTAGAATTTAAATTCCTGTATCTTGCCCTATACTATGATTATTTCATTATACTTGGAAAAAACATGCTGTGCTTGCATTCTTTTTGGCCCTGAAGCAATTCATTAAGGCCTGCATTATGTTGTTAAGCTTATGTCTTTTCAGAGAAAAAGAATAAGTCTCTAGATGAAAACAAACATTCTTATTTTATGCTTCAGAAGAACTATGGCAGAGAGGAAAAAAGGAAGTTAACTAACAAATTCAGTTAATTTGAAAAATCTTATAACTCAATTTATAATGTATGAAAGTTTTGTTAGGTTGCAGATGTTTTCAGATCACCCTTCCCACCCCAGTTTTCCTTTGCTGTCTTTGTCAAAAAAAATGTTTGTGGTCTTTTGTGAAAGTTTTCTTCAGCTATTACACTTTTAAAGCTTGGGTTTTTTTGTTTTGTTTTTGCAATCTAATATTCTTTGAAAGTATTCTGAAAGTTGAGTTAATGCTTAATTGAAATGTTATTGTCCTGTAGTATGCAATTATTGATTAGAAAGCTGGAGATTTGTAATTTGCTTGTGCAGCTTTGCTCCATCTCCTTTCTACATGAGAATCTGAGCTCAGTTCTTCTGTGGAACCTACTAAATGCACTGCTTTAGCATAACCCTCTTGTGGCTTTTTTTTTCCTGTGTGAACTGACTAAAGCTTTCTTATTTCCATTTGCCATCCATTTTTAATCTGCTCTGCTCCCTCCCTCTTCATGGATTATAAATCCCTACCCTAATCCTGCCTTTACACTTGTTCAGGATCACAGTCTGCTAACCCCATTGGTGGTAAGACTCTACAGAATTTGTGTGTGCATCGTTGTTTGATCATCTGTCTACATACTACTCATAATAGGACCTATTCAGCAGAAATTTCAACTCCCTTTCTGTGGTTCTACTCAATTAAATGTAATCCTTTTTTGAAAGGCAAAAAAAGTACCACCTTTTGTATTTTTTTGCCATCAGATCATCATTGATTCCTTATATCAAGAACTGCTGATGCTAGTATATGTAAGGTAGATAGTTGTAAAGGTAAGATTTAACCAAAATGTTCAAAGAGTTTATAGTAGACAATATTAGGTATTAGTCAGATATAAGAATTCTCCAAGATCAGTAGGGTGACCTATAAATATATTTTATATTGATCAAACATATTTTCCATGTTTAAAAGAGAGGTGGAGAAAAGACTTTCAGGCTTTACAAATTACTGAGGAATTTCTAATATGATTTTTTTAAAGTATGAAAACAAAAACCTCATATTCTCTCATCTCCTAAAGCCTCCACCACCAGAGAGAGAAAGGTATTCCATAGAGGTCAGGCCTTTCTAAATCAGTTGTAACGATGTGAATGATATGAAGAGACTTCTGCATAAACTCTTAATTCTTACAAAACAGTGTACAAAACTAGAAGAGATGTCCACTGTTTAGCTCAATACAGATGCCATGTTCCATATGTCCATACCATGCAACATTGCATGTTTAATTTCTGCTGAATAGGCCGGTATTTAGAAAAAGGCATTTTCTAAATAATCATTTGTTCAGTTCAAACAACGAGTCGGATAATAGATGCATGCATTGTTTTAGTCCCTCCCTACTTCCCCCATATTATTTTTCAGTTGTTTCTTGCTACCAAGCTTTAATCAGCTTGTGCTCTTGAAACGTGCCTGTGGACTTCATTTTCACAGTATTTGTCCCTTTCAATTGCTACTAATGGTGTTTACATTTTCAGAATACTATGAAACTTGCTTGTTGAGACATATTGCAGGGAAAGCTGATAAGTGTCCTAACTAGCCTCATTCAGTTTCCCAGCTTCATTTAAAGAGTGAAAAATTACTGTAGACTTCAGTCAGTTAATTTTGGTTAAAATATTTCTTTGCTTTCTAATTAAGATTTTTCAGTCAGATTGTTGTCTGTAGTTGGAAACAGTAATTTATACCGGTTGTTGCTATAAAATAGTTTTAATTAGTGTATATAGAGGAGATGAACTGTTCAGTTTTGGGGTTTTAAAACCCAAGTTCTCTGCAGCTGGAACATCAGAGGATGAGATAATATAGGTAACTGACCAATTTCTTGCAGTGGGTACAGTATGCTGAAATCAAAGCTAAATTTACTAATAAATGTATAATTTTGATTAATGAAAATCTGCTAAATCCTTAAACTTGTTTTAATCAGAGATGTTTTTCATGATGGTTCCAGAGGTTGAACCATTATAGGTTGAAAATTATAGTTCTGAAACCCATAGTTAAGTTTTTAGTGCAACTTCCATGGAAATAAATGCGAGTCTTTTTTGTTTCTTTCTAGCAAGTGATGCATTAGTCTCCAAGAGAGTAGGACTTGAACGTCTGGCACTCTGAACACATCATAGGGCTTACTTAACATTTAAATGACGAAGAAAACCTAGTTGCCTGGTGACATTTTTTGTATTATAACTATTAGGGTGATTAATCCAGTGACATTACAAAGACCAATAGTTTATCTGTGTTTCTAGGTGCTAGTGGTTCATAATAGATGTATTTTTGACCACATCAGTTTTACATAATTTAAAAACTGAGGACAAAAATGTTCATATTGAACAATAGTGGATCTTTTCATAAACACTTGAAAAAATATTTTTATGCTTCATTTTTGAGACTTGATATTAATTTACAGATATTTCTCAGATTTTGCACTTTATTTTGTAAGTTTTTTCAATTCCCTTTTCCAAACCATTTCAAACAATCTACCACAGCTTTCCTACTGATTTTGATCATGTTTACTTTCTCCATTTTTAATCTTACTTTCTTTGAATTTGTTGCTTATGTTTTACTTATTTTGCCTTCAGCTGGTAGCCGATCTGGATCTCCTGGAAGAGTTTTGACGACAACCACACTCTCCACTATGAATACAGGGGTTCAGAGAGTGTTAATCAATCCTGCAACAGCTCAGAAACGTAGCAAGATCCCACGAAGCCAAGGATGCAGTAGAGAAGCTAGTCCTTCTCGATTGTCAGTAGGTAAGAATTTCTTTGCAAATCATGTAACTTGAAGCATTTGGTTCCTACAGTTCATTTTGTTACAGGTGGCAGGCAGGCTGGAACTTGTGTAACTGCAATTCTAAAATGTGACTGTTGGGGTTTACAGAACCAGCTACCAAGGGACTTACTGTATTTTACCTGAATCCAAGATAACTTTAAATTTAAGAAGACCTTTCCCCCCAATAATTAGATATTGGACATGGGCAAGTTATAATTTTTTATGTCTATAATTGAATTATTAGATCGTTATCTTAAATATGCCACCCTCACCACCACAACAGGGAAAGCAATGGCAGGGAGGTGGTGAAATGACAAGTAGTCCTGCCCTTGCCACCTGCCCCCTCCCCACCACTGTTGCCTGCACCCCTTGGCACCTGTGCCCTCTCCCCTGCCCTTTGGACCCCCTGCTTGGCCCCCCACTTCTGCATGCTCCCTGCCGCCATATACCCTCAGTCTCAGCTCCTGCTTTGACCTAGGACATGGAGCACATGATGGCTCTGTTCCCTGTTTGGTCATGTAGCAGTGGTTGGGTAGTGGCAGCTCTGGCTTTGGTCCTGGGGCCAGGGCCACCACCACCACTGCTGCCTGGCTGGATGGGAACCAAAACCACCTTGTGATTCATGCCCCAGCCAGGAGCAGGGCCTGAACCATGATGATAGAAGCCCCATTCGCACCTTACATTTTAAGATGTGATTAACCAGTTAACCACACCTTAAGTGGTCACCTGGCCATGCATTCAGTCAATCAGCGGTATGATAAAAAGAGGAATAAGCTACAAAGTTATTCCACAAAATATGTAATAACTTTGTTGCTACTTCCTATCACACTATTAATTTAATATGTGGCCAGTGTCCCCTGTTGCTGGGAGCCCTGTCAGCTGATCAGAGCTCCCAGCTAGGGGGCCCATGCACCCCCATGGCTAGGAGACTGCAACTCATGTTATCTTCCAGCTGCAGGGATGCCCCATGCACCCCCTTGCCTGGGAGATCGCAGCTCATGCTCCCCCTGTACCAGCAATAAGACATGATGGTAACTGATTCGTCATCCCACAATTAGGTCTCCTGCCATGCACATGTGGATTGTGCATTAGATCCTACCACACCTTTACCTGCCTGTGTAGAGGAACCTTAAGGGTAAGTGTTGCCCAGAGACAGGGCAGCAGCATTGTGGAGCAGGCAGGAGAAGGGAAGTGGGCTACAGCTTTGATTCTGAGCCCAGGTTGGGACTGGAGCCAGAGCTCCAGTAGCCTGCCCCACTGCTTTGTATTTGAATCCAACTCAGGGGGTTTTCGAACAGGGGGGAAAAAATCTCATCAGATTCAAGTAAATATAGTAAATTACATTTTCAAATTTAAGCTGGGACAGTGAAGTCTGCTGCTGTCTGAACACATTGGCACATGCCTCTGTGCTTAGGCTTAGGCCAAGAAGGGAGAATGTGGGAGGAGCAAGTACAAAGCACTATTGATCACACTTGACTCCTCTAGATAATTAAGAGCAATTGTAAGGAGCAAATCTTCATGGCAGCTTGAAAATACTGAGAGCAAGAAAGGAGATGTGACGTGAGCTTTCCTGACAATGTGTGTAATTCTTTCCAATGTGTATAGTTTAGAGATGAATGTTATGCTTCCTGCTTCCTCAGAGGGGTACTGCCTCATGCTTTAACTCAACTCTACCTGTCCTTTCTTGAAATGTCAGTAAATGTAACTGAGTTGCTCCTGGGTTTTTAGTATTTTTCCCATTAGCTCTAAACTGAATTCTCTCTCCCTTCTTCAGATAGGTTGTTGTCCTAAATGCTGTTACAGAAGCCGACACGTTTCCATAATAGAAAGAAAAAATAGATGGAATTCACAAAAAGTTGTGAATTATTGTGAATTCATTTAGTTCTGAGTGAATTATTGTGAGGGCATCTCATTAATGGATATATTATGAGAGAATCTACCATCTTTTCTGAGCTTTTTTCAAATGGTTTTAGAGTGATTGTGGAGAAATACTTTTACTTTAGCTGGCTATATTTAGTGCAGTTCATTAAGTACAAAAACAGAATGCAAGTAGGTGTGTAAAAAGAGGAGATTTCTGTTCTTAGAAATGTCTATGCTCGTATTTATTGAAAAACACAATTACATTAAAACTGCAACTTTTCTTGTCTTCTTTCTGTACTATCGTTTCTCTGTACCCTGAATCATACTAGCACGAGGCAGCCGCATTCCTCGACCTAGTGTGAGTCAGGGGTGCAGTCGGGAGGCCAGCCGTGAAAGTAGCAGGGACACGAGCCCTGTCCGCTCTTTTCCACCCCTTGGTAAGTACTCATAGCCCTTGTGCATGGCTACTTCGCCTTTCATTATCTGCACGTAATGAACCCATATCCTCATTTGGCTTATAGCAGGCAACTATTTTTCCCCTTCCTCATGGCTCACTTTCCATTTACTTTTCTAGAAAAAAGATCAATGTGCAAATGGTATGCACATTGAAAAAGTAAATGTCATTTTGATAGGAGTCTTGTCCTAAACATCCATGTGCCTGGGAAGATGCATGTTATGCAATTCCTGGTTTAAAAAGACAGTTGTGCTCTCAAGTGTGATAGTAAAAGTAACCTTGGGAAATTACATGTTGTTGTTTCTCTTGATTTCATTACTTACATATAGCTTAAAATGATTTTTCTTATTGTGACTGCATCCATTAGAGTCACAGAATCAGGTTACATTTTTTTTCTTGTTGCCTGGATCAGACAGGAACGCTGGTTGGTTAGCGCAAAAAATAGTATAGTTAGCAAGCAGTACTTTTAATAAACAAGAAGGGAGTTCATACCCTGTTCCTTTACTAATGAGTAGAGAATTTCTTTTAAATTTTTGCTAAAGATGTATGATTTTTACTGTAGAGAGGAAATAAATCTCTTCAGTTACATGCCAATTTTACAGTCATTTTTCAAAACAGAATTGCACTGTTAAAGTCGTCTTTATTTTCTTTATATAATAAATGTTAACAAATAGATACGAGTCTTATTTATGAGGATGATCCTAAATCCTGTTCTAAATTATACTTTTAATTCCTGAAATGGAAATATAGCATAAAGATTGCAAGATTAGGGGAAAGAAGAGGGGATTTGGGAATGTCTTTCAGGTCTAAATGACCACCCTTGCATCTTCTTTTTCAAAGCTACTGAAACAATGACATAATGTTCAGGTATGTAGTACTTGTTATTAGGCTGGCGTTTTAATTTTTTTTTAAAGGGACAACTGACATCCATTTACAGAAACCAAGTGAAAGCACAGGAACAGAATAGTTGCTTTAAAAAAAATCATTAACTTCAGATCTTAAATCATTTTAACATAATCTAGGTAATAAATATTAACTTCCATTATTCTTTTCTATGTGATTTTAAAATTGCTAGCATTTTAGGTAATAAACCTTCTAGAAAAAAATATCTTAATTGGCTTTGGGCCTCTTCTGTAAGATAGAAAGTTAGCTCTTGAAGGTACTGTTTAAAAATAACCTAACTCCAAGAGGATGGTAACAATAGATAGTGGGTTACTGGGGCACTGTTACTTGACATTTCTTTTTCCATTAACAGTTTTCAGCTTCTGCCAAATACCATCTGTATGTTGAGGTATTTGCTTCCATCAAGAATATAAATCTGGAGAGCCAGATTTAATACAAGTGTTTTTTTCCTAAAATAAATACTCCAGGATTTCTTGTTTTACTATTTCTTAGTCTCGGTCTTCTCTAGTGTTTAACTTAGACTAACTAGACTTACTGGGTATAGTTTTTTTTATTTTCAAAGACATTTTTCTTGAACTAAATCCTAAATCATATCAACACAAGTGAAACAGAACAGCAAGGCAAATCACATATCAATACTTAGATTATTTTTATAACACATTTGACAATTTTACATAAAACCTGCCTACATCCGTAGTCTCTTAATAGTTCCCAACAAAGAATATTTTCTGTAGGTAATAGCCCAGGTTTTATATAAGCTATGTAGCTATAGAAACCTTTTGGTAATTCTGCACTGCAGTGACACAAGTAGATGTTAATTATAACATAGTGGAGACAGCACATATTTTAACTTAGTTCTGTGAAGCAAGGGATTTATAAGCAAATGCAGTCAACTATTCTACTGAGTTATTTTTTTTAAATATGTATTTTTTGGATTGATTTCTAATTTCCTTTAACCAGAAAGTATGTTGTTTTCTCCCCTAAACTTTGACATTAATTTTTACTGAAGTTAATTTTTAATAATTTGGTAAAATGGCAAATTTCCAATCATTAGGGAGAGTAGGTCTGTTATAACACTGAAGACTCAAATTGCTCAAAAACTATGGAATATTGCACATTTTACCAGTAATATTGCCTTCCTTTGTGATCTTAGCCTATTTGGCTTACTGATTTGAAGTAGCTGTGGTGAAACAAGAGTATTACTTTTAATAGCATTCCTTGTTTTATGATGATCTTGAGAGCCTGGTATGGGCAAAATTAAAGAAGAATTCCCTATTTTTGTACTTGGACTTCTTGATATTCCATGTTGTTATGTTGCTTTTTGTGTTGTGTGCTACTGTTGAGTGTTTTCTACTCCCTGCATCCTTCAGCATTACTGCCTAAGCGTCTAATATTGCATTCTCTGCCAAATAAAGATTTCATAGTTCATCAATTCTATGCATAGTTATTTTGATGCAAATTATATTGGTTAAGCATTGCATAACAGAGTAGAAAATCGATAATTAAGAGTCTTTTCTTGTTTCAATATGTTTAAGGACATGGCTTACCTGTAACGTTCAGTTATTGTCTTCCTCATATCAGGGTCAGTTGGTTAAAACCGGTCATTTAAATTACTTTCATCCTAATCAGGAGCAAGCAGGAAAACTTGACATAAATAATTAATACAAATTTTCCTTTTTATTTTTGTTTTTTGCTAAGCAAAAAATTCAGTATGTCGATGCACGTTTATTTGAGCAGTTCTGTAGCTTAGCCTACATTTATTTTTTTTCATTATGTTAGAAATTGGTGAATGACTTGTTCCTTGGCAAATTATATTTGGATGAGAATTAAATTTACTTAAAATGCATAAATATAGTATTTTAAGATCAGTTAAATGAAATTACGTTAAATATGGTGTATACAGAAGGAAAAGGGACAGTTTCTCGAACTAAGTTTTTCATTTAAAACTTCTTTATTGAACAAAGAAAATATTAACTATATTTGGAGACCTAAGCAGTCACCATGGGCCAGACTTTCAAAGGTTTATAAGTGCCTAGGGGATTTTCTACAACTTCTAGCAGTGAAGTGCTTGACTCATATTCCTTTGAATAATTTTTAAATAATTAAAGTAGATTTAGAGTTTGGCATAGGTTGTCTCAGTTTTAAATTCAATTTTTAAAAGAAAAAATATATTTGTATTTAAATCTGTTTTTCTTTTCATTAAAACTTCTGAACTAGAATGTGATGATTTTAACTTGAATTGGCAGCCAGCCAGCCAGGGGACATAGAATAGAGCTCAAGCTAGCCTAATTAGTCAGCTGCCAAATAATAACTGCAAAACAGTTGAGCTGCACAATCCCACACTAACTTGAGTATAGGCAAGTATAGTTGATTCTGCAGGGAAGATACAATCTAAGTATACTTTTTTTAGATTGCTCCTAGGGGAATTGGGCCTGTGCAATTTTTTATATTGAATTTAAAACTATGCTTGCTTTTATTCATCTTTAAGCATGGAATTAACTGCTTTCTCTGTGTATTTGAGGGGCTTTCTTGAACCTTTTTTCTTGGCTGTTAATGTTGTTTCATACAATAATACTTAATACTGCACCTGTTTGCTAAAAACTGATTATTCTTCTTCTCCAACTGTACAACTGTCACTGTACCTTGTCTCCATGGTAATAGGCAGGGTTTACATTATCCTGTTATTGCAGCTTCCAGACATCACTCCAGATCTACTGGTGCCCTCTACACCCCTGATGTTTATGGGGCTGCAGGTGAAGGATGAGTACACTTTTCTATCATCTGTGCAGTCATCCTGGATTTTTCCCCACTTGGTTTCCATTACAGTCCATTTTTTTAAATTACTATTTTTGTTGTTATAAGTTTTGTGTTTTGAATAGCTGAAGTAGATGTGTATTTATTTCATTTCTCCCTCAACCCCAAGGTCAAACCTTCTTCATCCACAGCATTCGGTTTAATTTGTTTTCCCTTGCGGATGGACTTTTAGTTTTTCATTATTTGATATTAGTAGAACATGTTTTACGTATGTTGTTTTCTAATTTAACACTGTTGGTAACTGTTGTTTTGTATTTGCTTTCTTTAGGGGGGGAAAAAACCCAAAATGAAGAAAAATGTTAATAACTAGTTTGTCCTTTAAGAAAAAAAGGACAAAAAAGTATCTCTGCATTTATATCCCAGTGTCTTTCAGTGTCGATCCCACTGTATTTCAGTTCAACTTTGTGTTTCCCTTCTCTCAATACAAATATTTTGAAGTATTCTATTTAGAATATCAAATATGAATATCAAATAACTACCCTGAAATATTAAAAGATATTTTGAAAGGAGAATAAAGCATTTTCCAAACACTTGTCTTCTGTTTGGGTTTTTAATCATTTTCTGCTTGAGTGTTTAAAGCAACTAAATTTTAGTTTTGCATTTTTGCCATTTGTACTAATTTTTTTTGTTTTTTCTTTATTTCTTACAACAGGTACAGGTTTTGGGATCAGCCAGTCAAGTAGATTGTCATCATCGGTTAGTGCTATGCGTGTTCTGAACACAGGTTCTGATGTGGAAGAAGCAGTTGCAGATGCATTGGTAAGAAGTCTCCATTCATACGAACAATAAAAGCATGGGTCAACTGTGTGATTAAGGTTTTTTATATGTAATATTTGTATTTCTACATGCATCCAGAAATACAGGTAGTTTAATCCTCTGAGTTCATAAGTGGAATGACTAGCACTCAAAATGAGTTTGTATGGCTAAGCAGATTAATTGAGGGAGAATTTGCCTTCCCTGGTTACAGCCAGTGTACAAAATTGAAGTCCTGAAGCAGCAAATTAATATTGTATCCAGAAGACTAACTGGCTATATAACAGTCTTTTATCTAGATTTTAGGCCTTGTACTAGGGTTTCACTTTTTTATGCTTTGGCTAGATATACAGTCCACTATTAAAGAAAACAAAAAATAAAGGCATATGTTAAAAATTGTTGATCTCTATTGTCGTCATAACGCTGTAGAATAAAAAGTAGACCTGTGACTTGGAAACAAAATTGACTAAAGTTTTATTTCCAAGTGTTTGTTAAATTACTGTCATGACTGTAAAGCTTAAATAGAGTGCTTTGATCAAATCTGTCATGGCCAGTAGACAGTATTTACCTTGTGCATTGGAACAGCCACAGGAAAAATAATACATGTAGTAGTCTCTTTGTAACTTTCTAATGTCCAAATGTATTTTCTGTGTTATCACAATAATCATACTAATTGAACAACTATTGTGACAGTTATTATGGAGTGAAAATAGTAGAATAAGAATTTATTTATGAGAGCTGACCAGTAATGAGACTTTAATTTCATGGAAACGATCTTAAATTTTGAAAAATCTTCATGTTGTACATCAAGAAGGGGAAAGACAGTTTGGAATCTTTAGTGAAACAGTTTCATGGCCATAAGCAAGCATTTTTGGGGCAAGCAGGTGGAGAACAGGCCGTCTAACTTCCCTAACAGTCCCAGCTCATGGTAGCTCACCATACAAGATGTTGGGGAAATGAAGATTTTTTCTTTCTGCCGCAAATCAGGGGACTCTGGGAGCTGAGCTATTGCTAATTTAGGAATGTGGGAATCTGCTGATAAGCTTGAAGTCTAGAAACCTACCCAAGTTACCTGGCAGGTAGGGTGCTGAAGACCTGGCAGGGAATCAGGTAAACAGTATTCCATTGTTATTTAGTAAAAAAAATCAACATGTTCCAATAGTACATCACAATGTTGATTAATGTTTTTTTTCTGCTGGAAAAGGGATCCATTGTCAGGTTTCTGATCAGCTCTACCATAATCTTTCTTCTGCATTTGATGACTCAAGTGTTTTGAAGGAATTCTCTTGATTTAATTTCTTTCTTTTTTTCTATTAAATCAAGACAAGTTTTATATGTCATTTTCTGTATTTTGTTAGACTACTTGCCATATTGGTAAATGAGCAAATTAATAACTTCGATTAAGTGGGAATAATGAAATCAAGAGTTTGAAATGGTCTAGTACACAGCTGACCAATTTCTAAGTAGTCAGGGGCTGCAGGCCACACTGGTTGTGGGGCCCCGCCACTGCACGTGCAGTGGGCTCCTGGGAGCCCTACCATGAATAGTCTCCCTGATGCACGCACAGCATGAACTCCTGCACACCCTCTGGAGCAGTGCAAGCCCGTTCAGCCTCCATTGCATGACCCCCTCTGCTGCTGCTGCCCAGCAGGCAAGCCAGATCTCCTCCCCATGCCTGTGTGAGCCCATGCCACTGCCATGTAGGAACAGACTATATGTCCTACCCTACTCTCCCACCCCATCGCTGTCCTGGAGTATCCCAAACCTCCAGCTGTACTGCTCTACGCCAAAGACCCTGACTGCCACCACAGCAACAGGAGCCCATGGGCTGCACATTTACCCCTTCTGGACGCGGCCCGCAGGCTGCGTGTTGGACAGCCTTTGTTTACCATATATTCTAAATCAGTCCTAAGTATATCAATTCATATTTAAAGCATGAGGTACCAAATTATGCAAATGCTGTGTGGAGTTTATTAGCACAAGGATTAGACTGACAGATTCTTTGAAATGCTTAAGCTGAAAATTTACAACCAAACTTCAGACGTTTACATATTGTGGAATTGATTTTTGAGTTCTCAGGAAGAAAATTTTAATATGAAATCCCTTTCTGTTGATGGCTCTGTTCATAAAGGCCATCAATAAAGAATCTCCTCGAACTGTTTTATCTTCACAGGTCACTTTATAAACTAAGCATGTGGGGGAGAGCCTAGAATATCATTGATGGAAATGACTGTTTTAGAATAGTTGTGCCACAGTTTTTGAAAATTCTTTAAATTTGAGCTGTGATCAGGAAAGTTTCTTCCATTTCACAGTTTCATCTATAAAACCCTGCCCAGCAGACTTGTTCAGAATATTATAGCCAAGATTTCCCATCTTGCAGCCTTCACTCAAAAATAGTTCAGTACATGGTTGATAAGAATTATTATTCACTTTGTCTGTGTGCACTTTGAGAGGATGGTGTCAAGATGGGAATCAGATTTAGAATCAACTAGCCTTGAGCATTTACTGCTCAGTGAAGCTTTGCTTATTTCAGTAAGAAACTTTTGGCTTTCTGCTTGTGATGCTCTAGAGAAGATTGCAGTAGTGAGGAATACTTATCCAACAATTGTAGAATTAAATTTCTGCATGTCACATCACCCCCCCATACCTTGCAGTGAAAGCCTTGAGCAATAGAGAGGAGTTCAGTAATTTCACTGGCCTTACGTTAGTTCTGACGTGGTTTCCAACAGTGTTCTCACTGAAGTGACTGATACCTTTCAGGAATATTCAGATGTTCCTGTCTTTTGTTTTTTGCTTCTCCTCCCTCCCCCATTACATTTCCAAAATTGTCCAGTCTTGGTCATTTTGTTTTTTATGGCATAACATTTTAAAGAAAAGTATGCTTCTATGATTTTTTCCTCTCCCTCTATTCACTTATATGCCTGCATGTATGTATATAATTGAGAACAAGTCTCCTGTTACTTATCCTGTTGCTGTTCTGTTTTTAAAGACATCTCTTGAGATAGTGACTATCTAAGAATGTAAACAGTACTGTCAATGAAAAGGGAAAAGTAATCACTTGATTTTTTTTTTTTGATTTTTTTTTTTTAATGTGAAATCACATAGGATGTTCATTGTCCTCTTCCACCCCTGAGTTTAGATGGCAGGGATCGTTTCAGGAGGTGTATATCTTTTTCATTTTTCTTTTAGAATGATAAGTATATTTTCTGTCCCGTGGCTTTTTTCCACTAATTGACTTCTGTAGGGACATTTTCAGTTCCATAACTGGAAGGTTCTAAATGTTATAAGTAGAGCTGGTTAGAAAATTTCAATGGTTGAAAATCGGGTATGAAGGGTGTTAAGGGGTTGTTTTGACAAAATTTTCAAAAAAGGAATTGGTTGGTAACTGTTGGCTGTAAATCTCAAGCTCAGTTATCGTTACATGACAGTCGACATCTAATAGCTTGCATCGAGGCATTCTGGAAATTTAGGTTCCTCCTGGTATTATATGGTATAGTGATGTTTTAATTAGCTCAGATATAACTAACTAAAAAAGAAAGTTGAATTAAAAGAATGTAGTTTCCAGTGACAGTAGTACCATAAGTAGTTATGCCACCTGTTAAATGTGAATTATCCTCATTTTTCTCAATTTCTCCATTTCTCTTTAATAATTTACTGCTATCAGCTCTTAGGAGACATGCGGACTAAGGTATAGAAATCACTGTTTTCCCCTTTATTATAATAGTTTTAACATTTTGCTGTATTGCATACTTGGATCATACAAAATTATATTTACCTATCAATTTTTCTTCTTGAGATTTGCAGTTAATAGATTTTTCACAAATAAAGCTTACATAGAAAATGATTAATTAGGTGGATAACTTTCAGGCTGCTGCTCTTTTTTAAATTTAGTTTGGAAACCCATATAATCAATCTGAATGTAAAGTGTTTTTACTACTATCCCTTGATTGATTGAACATCTGTAACCATTCATTGAAGCAGGGGTTGCCATGCTTATAAATGAATTGCCCAGCCTTTTGTAGATAGATGTAAATATAAATTTTGACACTAATTTGTGATCATTGCTAACATGGGGGTCTGTGTATAACAGAAAAAACCTGTACGAAGGAGGTATGAATCTTATGGAATGTACTCGGATGATGATGCCAATAGTGATGCATCCAGTGCCTGCTCAGAAAGATCGTACAGCTCTCGGAATGGCAGCATTCCTACATACATGCGCCAAACAGAAGATGTAGCAGAGGTCCTCAATCGTTGTGCTAGCTCCAATTGGTCAGAAAGAAAAGAAGGTCTTCTAGGTCTACAAAATTTATTAAAAAATCAGAGGACTTTAAGGTAAGAAAATGTTTCTTGTTTTAAAGCAGTTTTCTTTTAGGAACAGGGAAGAACCCACTGCTGTCCACCTTCGTATTTATATATGATATAATTTTATTATATTCTAAGTAGAATTGGAGTAAGCAAAGAAAAATACTCTACTGTATAAATGCTAGGTAGAAAATATCAGTGATATATCTTGGTATAAAAGTTATAGGTCTTGATTCTGTTTTATTTAGAAAAGTCATTTCATCCCTTTTCGTTCGCTAAAGTAGGAAGTAACTGAGATAAAACAGAAATCCAAAATAGTAAATAAAGCCTTATCCTTCAGATATTTCTGAGATGGTTTGTTTTCAGTGTGACCCTCTTATTTTAATAAACCTACTCAGTAGTCCTGCTAGAACCCTTCTCTAATGAGGGGGGATCATCACTAACTTAAAAAATGCCTAGAAAAACATTTGAGTGTACGATATTTGTACAGTATAGCCTCATAAATCCGGTGTGCCTGGGACTGAGCACCTGTTAGAAATTTGAAAATGCCAGATTTTTTTAAACCGGCGTGGCAGCCAGTCGTGGAGCGGAGGAGGAGGGGGGAGCAGCGACCACACGCAGAGCCATGGCGCAGGGTGGTGAATGTCAGCAGGCGCAGTGTGTAAGGTTCCCCCTCCTTGTCTGGGAGGACGGGGGGGAGTGGCGGCCAGTCCCAGAGTGGCAGGGGGAGGTGCTGTATTTTTTATAATTCCAGATTTTTGATGTCTGGATTAATGAGGTTATACTGTATGTCTTAATTTATTATCATAAGAAAATATTAATTTGAAATTTAATTCAGCTTTAACTCTTAAATGATTTTCTGTTGAAATTGGTAACTAATGAGAGTGGTAACTAATCCCAACTTTAACTTTTCTTTGCACTCTTTTTTTTTTTTAATATTTTTTTCCTAAAAATCAGCATTGACAAACAGGATATCAAACCAGAAACCCTTCAAAGTAGTAGGAAAAGTTCCCAATTGATATGCCTAATTAATTATTCATATTTTTGCAAAATTTTTGTAGTCCTATATTTAACAGAAGATATTTAACATTGTGGGAGGTGAAAAATATTCCTGATGTGTGACTTAAATATTTCATATATAGATTGTCTTTTTCAATTAAAATATAAAATAAATGGAATATTACTTTGGATTACTATGAGTTTAAAGAGATTACTTAGTTAAAAGTTATATTTAAGCAACATTTTTCATTATCAATTTTATTAATCTCTTAATTATTAAAATTGAAAGAATTAGAATGCCAAAACCAGGTTATTTACTACCTGGTTTCACTGTGGTGTTTGGTTTCAGTGATTGCTTTGCCCTAGTTTCATCTGCTAGGTTTCATTTACTGCAGGAGAATGTGTAATCAAAATTAAAGTGCTTCACTTTAAATGATTACAAAAAAGGAAAGTTTCTCTGAGAGGGGTTTTTGTGAACCTTATCAAGATGTGCTGGCCTAAATTTTTGGCTTTGTGTATAAGGCTTTTTTCTTCAAACAGTTCCTTACAGTAGCCCATAAGTAGCTAATTAGTTTATTATCTAATTGTTATTTCTCATTATTGACTAATTGTTATGTCATATTGACAGTCGAGTTGAATTGAAAAGATTGTGTGAAATCTTCACCAGGATGTTTGCTGACCCTCACAGCAAGGTATGTTTAGGTTTTACTGTTTGTTTGTAGTCAGCACTCAAAATCTTACACAATTTTTAGAGTAGTTTCTCTAAATGGTGTCAGTAAGGATTCGGTTGCACTTCTGAAAAATTTGTTATGAAATTTGTGATGGTGGTCCTGAGCTCTTAGGGAACTCTTTGCTGCTGTGTATTCTTATTATATGTGCTCTTATTTTCAATGATTCTGAATTACTCAGTTAAATATAAGGAGATTGTGGCATTTGACTTGATTTGAGTTTTCAAACGAAGTTCATTTTCTATCTTATGATTAAGGGGATGAAGTGTATGCTGAATTCTCTGCTAGCAAACTGAGTTAAAGTAAAACAACCCAACAAGTGGACAGCTCTCTAAAGCTAGCAGGAAATAAAGTAGAATATTTCTAATGATTTAATAATTATTTAATATTTTCCTGCTTGTCTTGAATTATAGGTATTCTGAGAAACCTTTTCCTATTTTCCTTTGTTGTGCAGTCTGTGTTAGCTTTTATTCACTTTTCAGTATTGATTTAAATCAGGGGTGCTTAGCCTGCAAGCCAAATGCAGCCCAGAGAGCCTTGGAGTCTGGTGACCCTCCCCCTACATGGCCTGATCAGAGCCAAGGCATGCCTCCTTTCCTCCTGGCCATGGGGTTGGGACTGGACCACAGCCCCTTTCTCTCATAGGGCTAGACCACGCCTTCTTTCCC